GGTTATCATTTTCTGATTTATTTAAAACGGCGATAGTGGATAATGACCGTTTATCAGGTGCACAAAAGCTACAATATTTAAAGGGTTCTTTAAAAGGAGATGCTTTGCGGATTTTTCAAGCTTTAACTATTTGTGACAGGAATTTCGAAATAGCGTGGCATTTATTGTGTCAAAGATTTTCACATAAGAGAGAATTACTTTCATCGTTATTAAAGAAAATTGTATTTATCAAATTTACAATCTGAAATTCCTAGTCAGATATTAGCGTTAGTAGACAATGTAAGAGAGTGTGTATGTTCGTTTGAAAATCTAGGATTCAAAGTGGAGCAATTCGCGGATACTATTTTTAATGTTAATAGTACAGTTTAAATTGGATTCTTTGACGAGAGGATGGTGGGAAAGAACATTACAGAGTGAGGAAATACCAACACTTAATAATCTACTAGAATTCTTGAAATCTCATGCCAGAACCTTGCAAGCAGGTAAAACGCAAGGTGTTAAAAAACAAGTTACAAAAGACAAATTAACTACTTTGGCTTCAGAGATTCGCGCGCAGTGTACGTATTGTAAAGCCGGTCATTCAGTTTTTAAATCTGAATGTTCAGGAACGCGTTAATTTTGTCAAGAGAAATAATGTTTGTTTTAATTGTTTGGTTTCAAATCATAAAGCTTTCGAGTGTAGAAGTACACATGTTTAGGGTCTTTGGATACGAAAACTAATGAAATTACGGAAATAAACTTCGTTCCACATTTTCCGGCGAAAGTGTCATTTAAAACACCAGTATTTATCATCAACAGAATTATTGGAACTTTGCCGCATTTTACATTGGATAAGAAGTACGTTGAGGAACATAATGATTTAATGTTAGCAGATCCAACATTTTACAAAAGTGGGCCTGTTGATATATTTTGGGCGTAGATATTGCCTTACCTCTTTTAAAGGGAGAAATAATTAAATGCGAAGAAGGTAAACCGGTAGCTTCTCGTTCTGAACTAGGATGGATTATTTCAGGTAGTGTGAATAATTCAACAGAAATTAATCCTACTATCTATGTTAATAATATACAAGTGGAAACTGATCAGATGCTGTCTGACTTTTGGAAATTGGATGCTGTACCTACGTTTGACATGCTTACTAAATCGGAGAGAGCATGTGAATATTATTTCAAATCTACATATACGAGAGAGGAAAATGGGATATATACTGTGAAATTACCATTTCACTCTCCGCCTTCTCAGCTTGGAGATTCCAGACAATTAGCTATGCGTAGATTCCAATCTTTAGAAAATTCACTTCTAAAAAGGCCTCAGATATATGAACAGTATAAGGATTTCATGAGGGAATACCTTGAGCTGAGACATATGGAGAGAGTGCCTGTGGAAGAGATTCTTATTGACTCTACGTATTACATGCCTCATCATGCCGTATTAAAGGAATCAAGTACTACGACTAAACTGAGAGTTGTTTTCGATGCTTCAGCTAAAACGACATCGGGTCTTTCATTGAATGATATTTTGATGGTTGGGCCAAGAGTTCAGCAAGAGCTGTTTCCAATTCTTCTACGGTTTAGAACTCGCAAAATTGCAGTATGTGCCGATGTAGAGAAGATGTTCAGACAAATTCGTGTCCACCCAGAAGATACAAATTGACAACGAATGCTTTGGAGGGATAGTCCTAGTGAGCCCTTGAGTACATTTAGATTAGTGACAGTTACATATGGGACTGCCTGTGCGCCATATTTGTCTACTAGAATAATGAAACAACTTGCATTAGATGAACAAGTGAGATTTCCTTTAGCATCAAAAATTGCCCTTCGTGATTTTTATGTTGATGATTTGCTTTCAGGGGCACAAAGTGAAGAGGAAGCGAATGTTTTAGTTCAGAGTGAATGAAATGATGAAAAGGGTGTGGATTTCGCTTAAGGAAGTGGACTTTCAAACAGTTCAGCTATTTTAGAGAATATTCCCGAGTGCTTACGAGAATCCAGTATTTCTCTTGAAATAAACAGTGACAAGAAAAGTAAAGTATTGGGAATTAATTGGAAACAACTCTAGTGATACACGTTTAATTTTTCGGTATATGCATAAGTGATAAAGAGTTTACTAAGAGGACTATTTTATCAGAAGTAGCCAAAATCTTTGATCCAATGGGATGGTTAGCGCCAACAATAATATACGCGAAAATATTATTACAAGAATTATGGAACTTACAGCTGGGTTGGGATGAACTCGTTGATAAGAGAATAAGTAGGAAATGGAAGCATTTCTATCTAGAATTACCCTTACTTTCAAGCTTACAATTTCCGATGTATGCCTTGAGTCCGAAGGCAGCAGTTATAGAAATCCATGCTTTCTGCGATGCTTTAGAAAAGGCTTATTGTGCAGTCATCTATCTCCGAACAATCAACCTTGATTCGTCAGTCAAAGTCAGCCTTCTGACATCGAAAACCAGAGTACCGCCCTTAAAAACCCAGTCTCTTCCGAGACTAGAGTTGTGTGCTGCGTTACTTTTAACCAACATCTTACATGCAGTATTATCAGGCATAGAACTGCCTATTAACAATATTTATGCATGGACCGACTCGCGGGTTACTTTGGCATGGGTTTCGTCCGAACCTCGCCGTTGGCTACCTTTTGTGGCAAATCAAGTTGCAAAAATCCAGGAAGCTGTTCCAGGTATTCAATGGAATCATGTTGCTGGGAAAGAAAATCCTGCAGACTGTGGGACCAGAGGTTTTATTCCATCAGAATTCCTACAATGTGAGTTATGGATGAAGGGACCGCAGTGGTTAAACGAATCCCTAATTCATGTACAGCAAAATTCAAGTGTAGAATCAGAGAGTGAAGTTATGTTGAAAGAATTGAAAAAGAGTTTCAATTCAAATGTTTCCAAATTTGAAGAGCCTAGTGTGTTTTCAAAGATTTTCATCATGGTTAAAGTTATGTCGAGTGTTAGCGTGGTGTTTAAGATTCAGAAATAATTGTAGTTAAGTTACCTACAGAGCATATAAAGGGTTATTTATCTACTGCAGAAGAATTCTGTGAAGTTACTTCTATGATTGTTAGGATTGTGCAAAGAGCCGAATTTCCAGAAGAATTATTCTGTTTAGAATCTGGTAAACCCTTGAAGACATCAAGTAAATTACTGTCTTTAAGTCCTTTCTTGGATTCCGCGAGAGTAATGCGTGTAGGCGGAAGGCTCAGAAACTCTACAGTTTCAAATAATCGGAAACATCCTATGATTTTACCTAAGAATCACAATATTACGTGTTTAATTATTAAGCATTATCATGACACGTATCTTCACGCAGGTACGCAGCTACTCACTTCTGTCATACGACATAGATTTTGGATTGTGAATGCTAGAGATATTATAAGAAAGTGTATAAACCAATGTGTTATCTGTCGTAGAGTTAGAGCGCAAACTGCAACTCAGCTAATGGCAGATTTACCCCCTTCAAGAGTTACTCAAAGTAGAGTTTTTTCTCGTGTAGGGATTGATTTAGCAGGACCATTTAACGTTAAATATCGTCCGGGTAGAGGAGTCAAAATCTTTAAGTGTTACGTATGTCTATTTATTTGTTTTACTACAAGAGCAATACACTTAGAATTAGTTAGAGATCTTTCAACAAAATCATTCCTCGCGACACTTAAGCGGTTTATAGCTCGTAGAGGCAAACCGTGTGAAATTCACAGTGATTGTGCAACGAATTTTATAGGAGCTAATAAAGAATTAAGGAAAGCCTTTTCTATTGTTTAACGTGATGAACAGCTACAGGGTTATATTTCTTCAGAAAATATTAAATGGTTATTTAATCCTCCCTCTGCCCCTCATTTTGGAGGGCTTTGGGAAGCGGGTATCAAGTCTATGAAACATCACTTAAAAAGATGTTTAGGAACACTTATTTTAACATACGAGGAATTTTTGACATTAATAAGCCAAATTGAATCCTGTGTCTTAATTCTAGGCCTTTGGTACCAGCTTCAAGTGATTGTAGCGACTTGGAGGCGATGGCGATAACACCAGGACACTTTTTAACCAGAGCAGCTTTAAGCGCTATTCCAGAATCTAACCAAATTCAAGAAACCATGAGCTGCAGTGACCATTGGAGGAACGTGCAAAGGTTATTTCAACATTTCTGGAATCGATGGAGCAGTGAGTATTTATCTAGATTGCAGCAGAGATCCAAGTGGTGCACGTTACAACAAGATCTGAAGATTGGTGATATGGTTCTTATTAAGAATGAAAATCTACCTCCGCTACGTTGGAAATTAGGTAGAATTATTAAAGTGTATCCTGGTCTGGATGAGAAAGTTCGAGTGGTGAGTTTACGCACGTCTAATGGTGAAATAAAACGAACTATAGCAAAGCTATGCGCTTTGCCATTTAATTCCTGATTTAGAGACTTTAATTTTTATTTTTCAGGTTTATGCAGTTCAACAGTTTAAATTTATTGTTTGAACCCCCTCGGGACTTCAAGGCTGGGGGTATGTTCGATGTTATGCAAATTGTATTTTTTTCTTTGTACCGAGGAGCGGTGCAGATGCAAATTTGTTAGGTTTTTAAAGCTTGCATTTAGAGCTTTGAGGTTGCTGTGAATTACTGGAGTTTCAACTAAGCAGAGGTTCTTCTGAGTTTGTGTTGGTAAGCCGCTACTGAGTTCGGAGTTGTTCCTCAACTTACTTATTTTGAAAGTCAATAAAGAAGTTTCGGTCAACGTTATGATTCTGAGGTTTTTTGGGTTCTATACTGAAGTAATATCAAGTCAATTTACAGTCCACTATTTTTAACAACGGAACGTACATTACTTTGACACAGAATTATCGAAAAATTTAGCATTGTACATTTACTATCCGATTCTGCTACATGTCAATACACTTAACAACATAAATAATGTGAGTATGATGATGAAAATGTGAATATAATTAATGAAACTGAGCTTAGTGAGTGACCAAATACTGTGATCTAGTATCTGCATGACAGGGAAACAGATATTTACTATTTTGGGGAAGCATCCATTACGTTTGATGCAGGGAGCCTCTTTTGTTTGTAGGTAACTCCTCCTGTGCTTCTCATCCACACGATCTAAATACCAGGTTTTGGGAAACAGATCTTCCACCTTTCCTACGGGTGTGTAAGGAGCTGGAAACAGAGTAGTAATAATAATCAATAAAATATTCGCAGACATGTATAAAACTATTAATTTACTACGTGTTTTATTAACATTATACATATTACAGTTTCATAAATAATTAAAGCATGTGACTAAAAAAACTTAAGTTTATTGCCTTTAAAAATCATTAACAATGAATATGATAAATCAATATACATGAAAACATGATAGCATTACCTAAAAACACATACCATACTTGCTAGCATATAAGACACACTTTTTTTCTTCGAAAATAGGTCTGAAAAATGGAGTGCATCTTATATGTGTGGATAATATGTCGTATACATTCATATGTCGTTTGTGAATGGGTCAAAGTGTCAAGAAATGCTGTGAAAACAGAGGAAATGGTTAAATCATTTAAGAAGTGTGGCATTAGTAATGCAGTGGATGATACAGAGGACAATTTGTTGTATGTGGACACAGATGCTGATTTAGAAGACGTTTCAAGTGACTCTTCATTTAACTCTGGAGATGAGTGTCTGGGTTTTGACAAAGGATATTGAAAGGTGTTCTTTCCCAGATAGATTGAGTATTTGCAGAAAGTATTACTTTACATTTAAAATATTGTAAATTCATTATAATGATCAGTATTAAAGTTTTATCCTTCAAAAATGTGTATAAAAATAGGGGCGCATCTTATAGGCCGGTGCCTCATATATCCCAGCAAATACGGTAATTATTTCAAAAAAGTAGATGCATAAATTAAGCTTTTGATACATTTACAAGTTACAACCTTATTTTTTGGCACTTCTAAGAGAACAATAATAAGTAAAAAATTTTACACATTTTAAAATTTACACACTTAAAATTTTTGACATAAAACACAATTTCACCCTAAGGGATTTTTTTTTAATCCCTGTTCCCAACAGCCTTGGTAATGAAAACCATACCTTGATGGTGAGTAGCATTCCTGAGTTTCAGAATTTCTGTGAATTTCTCTGGACTTATTTTCCTTCTGTTCACAAGTCTAGATTTGATGTTTTGAAGACTGTCGTGCAAGTAACGTAACTGAGAACCTTTCATGATATCATCCGTGAAACGAAGGGAAAACAGAGTGGCAGCCAAACCAGAGCCATAAGAAAACATCCCTACTCTAATTGCTTTTAAGTCTTCTATTTTTTGACTAAAAATTAAAATAATAAAAATCATGCATTTATAAAAATAAGCAATGGAAAAGAACAAGATCATGAACTTATTTAAATCATGTGCATAATATGGATACAGATAATTTTGAAACTATTTAATCTCTTCAAGCCTCTTGCTGTCAGTTCTTTTCAAGACTAAAGTAGATTAAGCTTTGCTCACAAAAATATGGTTTATGAGCTTTTTTAGCATCAAATAAGAAGTCTAATCAAGAAATAGCTCTATTTGAAAGAATTTATATTCTTTAAAGATAAACAATTTTTTTTATCAATGATCCAGTGTTTTATTCCATTCTTTAAATCCTTGATTTTAAACTAGGATTGTCAAATTTTTTAAAGCAATTCTGAGTAAATATTTCATTTCATATAACAGCATTCACCATTTCAAATTCTACACTAACTTAACAGTTTCTACTAAATGTTTCAAATTCCTCTTTAATGGTATATATTTTAGTGTGTCGATTAAATGTTACATATTCCTGGCCGAGTTATTTTAATGAAATATTTAATCAATACTAATTAAAAAGTGAAAAAATGATCAAGCTTTTGAAAAATACAAATGCAAATTCCTGTACTTAAATTGCGATTCCTTTAACATTAAATTAATCTCATGTGTCCCTTTATAGTAGCTATGCAAATAACTGAAAGGATATTGAAAACATAATCTGAACCAATCTTAATTTCTATATTCCTTTCCTCCAATACTCTTCTTGCCTTATTTAAACTTTAATCTTAACTAAACCTTATTTATTGATAAAGCTATTTTACAAGACAATAAACTTAAAGGTAAGCAGAGAACCACATTTGTAAAGAAACAAAACAACCTGATATATATATATTTTTTTAATAAAACTCTATGTTATTTTTTTAACATGAAACTTTTTATAATGTTCAGTATAAATTAAGCAGGTCTGACAACAATTTACAGTCTAAATAAATCAGACAACAATTTAAAGTTGAATAACTGGTGAAAGTAATCTGTTAATAGATCTCCACTGCAGAACATAAAAATCTATGAAATTTCATCAAATACTATATAATAGTCATGAATTTAACATCACAAAATATGTTTTTCTTAAAGAGAGGAAATGACAACCCTGGTCTCAACAACTTTCTTCCAATTTACTGAAAATTAGGTTTTCTTATCTTCAAATTCATCCAATTTCAGAGAAATGTTACTGCATAACTATTATTTAAACAGAAATAGCTTCATCAAATAAATATCATGCTAATTCTTTTCGACAGCTTTAAAACAATATTTTAAAATTACTTAAAAACCACAGGAATGAAATATTCTAATAACTGTGCCTCCACCCTCCGAAAAAATTCCGTGCAACAAACACTGTCCTAAATATCTGAAGCTTATATTTGTTTCTCACACAAAACTTTTTTGGATATTTGTGTGTGTATGTAACTTTCTGATAATTTTCTATATTTTATTCCGCAAATGGAAACTTTAGTACCCCAAAAATTTCACATTATTTTCCTTGGCATTAATAAGTACATCACTTTCAGATACTATATTTAACTTTCAAACCTTTATACCAGACTCCCTTATAATAATAATTACCGTAATTTCGCACGTATAGTCCGCAGACACGATTTTATGTAAAAAAAATTTCAAAAATCGTCAGATAGTCCGCACCACCGGATAGTCCACGGACTATACGTCCGAAATTATGTTTATTTATAATATTAATGTATTTTAAATATTTATTTATTTCTTTATTTATAATATTAATGTATACAATATTAATGTATTTTAGAAACAAAGAACTAAGTATAAATAGAAAAAAAGTGCTTACTTACTAATATACCTTCAGAAATAAAACGCTAAATACAAATAAAAAACAGTGCTTACTAATTAATCATATATTAATTAATCACACATTCTACTACATTCACGAAATCCTTCAACGTCCGATTCATCAGTATCAGAATTAAACAGTTCTAATATATTTTCGGGAAGAGTGTCCGAAAGTTCATTTTCAGCATCACTATCTTCACTGTCAGCGATTTCCTTGCTTTCACTAACAATCCTGGCTTTTATAAATCCCGATCGGATGATTGACACTTTAACACTTTTCCAGGATTTATCGACCCATTCGGCAACTTCAGTGTATGAAGCGCGTCTAATATTACCTCCTTTTGTGAAAGTATGTAAACCTTTCGACATCCAGATCTCCCAGCAAACATGTACGCGGGACTTGAAACTTTTGTTCACGCTAATATCCAGAGGTTGCAGAATTTTTGTTCAACCTCCTGGAATAACGCTAAGTTCAGCACCAATGTTTTTTTTTTTTTTTTTTTTTTTTTTTTTTTTTTTTTTAGCTTCCACCTTTACACTGTCTTTTATGTGTGCTCTCATGGAATCCATAATTAGTACTCCTTTGGAACTGAAAACCTTCTCTCTTCTTCCAAACTTCTTGAAACCAATCGAGCATAATGTTCTTGTTGCACCAACCCTTTTCATTGCACTGTATTATGACGCTTCGAGGAAAATTTTCCTTGGGAATTGTTTTTCTCTTAAAGATTAAGAGCGGCTTCAACTTTGTGCCGTCAGCACAGCAGGCGAGCATCACTGTGAATTGGGTCTTATTTTGACCAGTTGTTGTTATTGATATTGTTTTCACTCCACAAGTATCGACGGTGCGATTCGGTAGACAATCAAATGTTAATGGAACTTCGTCCATATTTATAATATTTTTTAGGGAATACTTCCCTTCTGCAATACCTTTCCTTGTAAACTGAAGAAAAGAAGCTTTTTTTCCATCTACGTCGTCCGGAACACCCTGACACATTGTCGTTCTGCTGCGAACTCTCAAGTTTTTACGACACATGAAGCGGTAAACCCAATTTATTCCTCCCTTGAAATTCGTTATCTGCCATGGACTTTGCTCATCATCTCTTCTGCCATGGACTTCGCTCGGAGACGGATTTTAACTGTTGAAATTTTCATTTGGTCGTTCAGCATTCATTTGTTCATCAAACGGCATTTCTTTGGTCGAGAACCCATCTCAGTAAATTTTCCTCTAAAGCTGTCCATTTTACTTTTCCATGCCGATTGGATCGCTTTCTTCCCATGCTTTTTAACACATCCTTTTGTTTGCGCCAATTTCTCACCGCTTTCTCGTCCACTTCAAAATAACGGCCCGCTTCTCTATTTCCATCTTTTTCAGCTTTCTCAACTACCTTGAGTTTAAACTCAGCAGTAAAACTCCGGCGATGTTTCATCAACGTTATCGAAGATGAAAGACAAAATACGAAAACAAAATACTGTGCAACGTGCTATCCTCGTGATAAGTGGTAATGAAATGTGACCTTCGACCCCACTCACTCGGTGTTGCCAAACCACGCTATAAGTAAACGAATCACGCTTTTTTTTCGTACTCCAGGTACTTGCTACTAAGGCTCCTAAAAACCGAGCTGACGCATCAACTACTTTTCCCCCTCCTGGCAGTTGCGCTAAAGCAGTGCGAAGGATACTGGGATACAAGACTCTGGTTTCGCTAAGTGAGTGCTCATATCCCGGCATCGCTTAATGCGCCTGGATCCAGCCTGGATTTTAGGAGCTCTACTTGCTACTACTCATTCGTTCTGCACTATGCTCTATGGTTTACTATCGATACGATACACACGAATGTTTTCTTGGAATCTCGCGCTTTTTTTATATTTGATCATCAGCAGTTCACGACAGCATGTTTTTTAAATTTCAACAATATTAACTTTGAACAAACAGCATATTATCCGCACTGGTGGATAGTCCGCAGCTTCAAAAATTCGCATTTTAAACACAGATAGTCCACGGACTATACACGCAAAATTACGGTACTTAGGAGATTGGTGATTTCACAATATAATTGTGATATCTGGCGACTGTTTGGAGATCAACAGAGTGTGCTTGGCGAATGTAGCTCTTCTCCAAGAAGAGTTAATGTATTTATTGAGAGTTGCATGTTAACCTCGAAAGAGGAAGGTAGTAGATTTCATAATGCTGTAAGAGCGACATATTGCTCTGAGTTATTATTATGCTTTGAACCATATTTTTAGGTTAGAAGGTTAGAGGTTAGAAGCTTAGAGCGTTGAAAACGGAAGTGGAGTAAAGTTAAGCCTAACTCACGAAAGAAGTGCGCATTTGCAAAAGGGAGTAGAAACATGTGAATTATTTAATCGCAAGTTCGAAAAGCTTGATTCTAAAGGAAAATAAAAGAAAATGTTCAAAAACACAAAGAAAGAGGATTTAGTAACAGTTCTATTGGAAATTGGCCAAGAAGCATCCCCAGATTTGAAGCTGGTAAAACTGAAACACAAACTCCAAAATAGCAAGGAATACATCAAAGATGCTGAGTTCGTGAAAGAAATTCTGATTACTACGGCGGAGAATAGAAAAAGAAAAGAAGAAATAAAAAGAATACGGATGGAAGAAGAAAGAATAAGAACAGAAAGAGAACGCTAAATAGAATTAGCGAAGATTCGAGCAACTCAAAATGAAGGAAGTAGAAGTCCGACACCTTCATTCCAAAACACAGGACAATTCTTTGACATTTTCTCCAATTCTTCTTGTTCGGACTTCCACCACTGAATGCATCGCTCGCGAACTTGAAATTCTTTAGCCGCAGCACGATTTCCAATTTCGATCGCTTTCTTCACTGCCAAAAGCTTTAAAAGCCGCTTTATAAATTTTTCTTCAAGTAAAAACCATAATAGTAATATTTTTAAAGCATGAATGATAAGTTAAACAAAAGCAAGCTACAAAACAGTAAAAACGTGTAAGGATGAACACAGCACTTGCCAAGCAAATGTAGCTGTTTCCATTAAAAAAAGGGGGTGTCATAGGAAAACATAGGCAAAACCCCAGAAGTTAGCAGAAAGTACATGCATTACGGTATCATTATACGGAACGCCATCTGCCTTAGTTAAGCGAGTTTGAACTTATTGCATTGCCTTAGTACAATCCGAGGTTGGAATATTGCAGCGAATTTTAACATAACCATTTCGCTTGTGTATAACTTACAATCTGAACTAGCGAAGTTTTAAGGACAGAGGAAAAGTAAAATTCCTTCGGATACGCTGCTCCGGCAGATACGGTGCAGACCTAAATTTTAAACTTTTAAACATGTATAAGCTGCAGCTTATGTTCCCGAAATTATGGTACATTTAAACAGATGATCAGAAAAAATCCCAAATTCGGAATTGCCAAAGTTGCGACAAGTCCGGATCTCGGACATTGCACTATAATGTTTGTAATGCTTGCTGCAGCTTGGATAATATTCTCAGTGGAGGCAGCTACATGAACAAAAAGTTCCAACATTCTTGGTGAATGCATATTCTGGATTGGATTAAAACAGTATCTATGGTAGAGTATACTATTAAAGAACAGCCCCTTTTCTGAATGATTTTACTTATAATGTCCATGATAATCATTAAAAATAACTTATTTATAAAACAACATAAGTATTTTAATCAATGCATAAGTAGTTACAATTATTATAATTACCAAAAATCATACATCAAATTACCTTGCTATAAAAGAAACAAGGCAGGCATATAGAGAAGGAGTATACATGTTGCCCACTTCTTTAGCAATCAAAAGGCTGGGTTTTGTTTTCTTTTCAAATATAGATTTGCTATGATCCACAAATGCTTTTTCCACTTCTTTATTAAAGTATGTCTCCTCCAATTTAAGGTTACTACAATAAAATCGGCAACAATTTAGACATACATAAAAAAATTATTTTGAAAATTTTTCTTAAAAACTTCATATTATTTGAACAAAATAGAAATTCTTATTTCTTATTTAACTGTATTTAAAATCACTTTTACATTCTTGATATTTCAAAACATTGCTGAATAACATCATAATCTTAGACTATGCAGCATGTTTAAAAAAATTACTAAATATCATTTAAATTAATTTATCACAGACTTACAATGGTTCTAATTTAAAAACTGAATAAAAAATCTTTAAGAATGCAACAATTTTGTTAACATGACAGATTTGGGTAGAAGCAACTAAAACCTGAAATTGTTTCCCTAAATATTCAACAGAAAGCTAATTTCAATCCTATTTTAAATTGTTCCCTGTGGATGCAAGAGAAAACAAATTTTGACAGGAAAAGTATTTTTTACAGTTTTGGCAAAAAAAAAAAGTCCACTTTCATGTAGCCAAAATTAAACAACATATTATTAATTAAAATTTTTAAAACTATATAAATACAGAAAATTTCCTAAACTTTTCAAGACAAAATCAACATGGCTTTGCATTTCACCATTCTAGAAAGAGCCAAGAAAACTCAAGTTTTTATCAGTTTTCATATTCTTTTCATGTTGAAGTAGAAGAGAGATTTTTAATACCAGAAAATAATTTTATTGAACACTTGATTCAGGATGTTAGAAACAAATAGCATAATACTATACTGGGAACAGCCATTTGAAGATGATTTACCTATTTTGCTAAGAATGAAAATATGCAGAAAATTGGAAAGGTTCTTTGCAGTTTTAACAGGGCACCGCCTAGGCCCATTCCTGGCAGATATGCAGCAAATGCCCTGCATGCAGGTGCCAAATTTAGGGACACCAAATTTGATAAGTATCCTGTAAAGTGAAGTTACCTGTGTAAGGACAAATACATCATCCACTCATTTTTTTGTCCAAAATTCAATAAAAATGGTCTTTTTTGTCCAAAGGCCAAAATAAATTATTTAATTATGTATTTATAATTATTACAAGGAGATGAACCAAAAAACTTGCACATAGGCACTTGAACCCGCAGGAAGGTGCCAGCATCACCCACCACCAAACATAAATGCTGACATGAAATCTAACTGTAAGGAATTGCAGACCTAACTACTTATACAGCTTCATGAAACAAGAAGAGGTATTTCATTAAATTCCTAACAAATGCAAAAAACAAAGACAAATACTCCCAAAATAAGAACGCAAATGATTATTCCAATCCACGTTTGTCATTAATTTATTTCTAACTTGAGTAGACAGAATTCTATCAACATCAGCTCAATGCCAGATATAAATTAGTTGCTTAATTACAAGGAAAGGAATATGCCAGAGTAGGAGAACCTTTTTACCATAAAATTAGGCAGTGATAAAGGAGGCCACATAAGTGATAAAGGACACATTTAAATTAGGCAGTGATAAAGGATTCAAAAGTTGATATAAATGCGACTTTTGTGAAATTAGTATAGTTTTTGTATAGTTTTATCACTTTATTTCATTATATAGAAATAATGTAAAAAAATTTTAAATCATTTATTAAAATAAAAATTTAGAATATAAAATATTTTTGCATTCACATAAATAACAACATATATTTACTCTTTCGAATAAAAACAATAAAGTAGAAGTATTTTTCAATACATTTATTACATTATAAAGAAAAACAATAGAAATTAATTATATTACATTATAAAAAGCCAACATAGCAATAGTATGTAATAATGTTAAAATCTGATGGAAAATTTAATTTAGTAGGATATCTGCATTTGTTTCTTTCCTGAAAATGACTGAATATTTGAATCAAGCTTCATAACCCGCAGCCTTAGTATACCCTCTAAATGAAAATCTGTAATTTGCAATCTTAAACTAGTTTTAATTTTTGTCATGACAGAAAATGTTGACTCGCAGCAGTACTTCCAAAGCAGGAAAGTAAACAGTGTGCATGGTCTCGTAGGCATGAATACTCAACAGCATTTTGCCAGATTTCTATGTGATCATTTTTAGTGTCAAAAAGCCATTTGAGGATACTATCTTCCTGCAACTCAAATAACTCCATTTGCAGTTCATAGGAGCTTTGGATATATCTATTAAATGTGGGTTCAAATGCCAGTTTCATAGCAAAAGTGTGCTCGTAAAAAATCTAAAAATCAGTATATTCTTCTATTAAAAAGTCCAAGACACCTACATGTTCATCAAATGTTTTATTTTTACACTCTTGCTCATTCAATATTTTTGCTAGCTTCGGAATTCATGATGACGCATTGCATCTATGCGAATATAGTTCACAATTGAAACAATTTTATCCAGAGTGTCTTGCAAAATGGTTATTTTTGCAGAAAATTTTTTTCAAGTTTTCCTTTTTTACTAAAGCAATAAATCCTTCTCTTTTAACCTCTCATGGAAGGTGCACCATCGGTGCAGACACTGACTAAATTACTGACATTTAATTGTTATCAATGGCATAGTTCTTGAAGTTTTTCAAAAATGTTAAATCCGTGAGTTGTTCTAGTGAGTTATAACATGATTAATATATAAAACTTGTGCGAGTCATTTTTATCAATGCTTTTATCAATTAATTTTTTATAAATTAAGCAATGAATTTAAATGCTTTCGTCTAAATAAACAATTAAAAATAAACATCTTCATTTTGTATAACCATACAAAGTTGCTCTGTTACATTTTCAGCTAATTTGTGCTGCCGATCTGTTATAGTTCTTGAAAGAAGAAATTGTTTGGATTTATCAACTTTTCCTGGACCTAACAATACCTACTGCTTCAACAATACATTCTTTAATTATTTCTATGTCACTAATTGGTCTGCCTCTTTTCCCAAGTACATGTGCTATTTTGTAAGTACCAGCAAATACAGTGGTATTGTCTTTACAGAAGCATTAAAATACACCTGTTGATGATGTTTTTCATTTTTCAATTTTTGAACTGCAGCCTGTCGAGATTCACCTTCTAAATTGAAATATTTACATTCTTTACAAGCCAAATAGTGTTTATTTGTGTTTGCCTCCTTCAAAGTAGTCAAAACTGTATTACACAATAAACACATCATTTTATCTTTCACAGAAGTAAAGAAATAGTGTAATACTCTACACTAAACATTTGATTTTCTTCTCTTTCAGTTTGAAAAGGTGGAGGAAAAAATGAATATCAAATATTATCTTTAAAAAAGCATATACTTACTAAAATACAATAAAACCGTGTATTAGTAAAACCTAGGAATAAATAAAACAATAACTAGATTTTCAGAATGGCCAATACCAATACGAGATGGGACTGATACAAGCACGCACAAATAACTACACATCACCAACTCTGCAACATGCAGGGCAATGCTGAGGGGTGTGGGGCAGAGGGAGAAAAGTAGGTACTGTCTGTCTCTCAGAACAGCCACCTTCATGGTATCTGGCGGGTGGCAGTTGCTATAGCAAAAGGGTTAGTGTATTTCAAGTAAGGGTGAACCATGGCCAAAAATAAGAACAAAACAAAAGAATTTCTATTGTTGGATGTTGGCAAACTAAAACATGCATCAGAATGGCAATAATTTCAGACTATGAAGGACTGCTAGAACTGCAACACTGCAGCATTCTATTTCATGTTATACTCAATACATGACAGCACATTAGTTAATTCTATTAACTTTCAAATTGCCATAATCTATATAATTAAATATTAATTAATACAAGAGCTAGAGGTTGCACAAGAAACTCATACAGGCCGCACCTCTGGATTTCCTCCTCTAGTCCCCCACCTCTAAAATACACTTTCAGTTTTTAGTTTTCTGAACAATATCTTTCAGTATGGGTAATATCTTTGTTTGGAAAGAATTTATCAGGGATGCTTAGTCATTTGGAAATTACCAACTTGTATAAATTCAGATTTTTTTAGAGTACTTCGAGAGGAAAAGAAACTGAATATGTCAAAAGGAAAATTACTGAATTGATGTTCATTCTTCACGCTCATTCAAAATAATTTCACATAGCACTAATGAAGTGAAAAAAAACATATGACCACATTGGCACAAAATATGACTAGAACCCTATAAACCAGAATGTACCACTGAAAGAAAGCACATTCAGTTGTATTTAGTTATAATTTTTCATTCATAAATAAGACTCTAACAGCACTAATTTTATATGTTTTAGAATTAAACAGCAAGAAACTAATAAGAAAGAAACTAATAACAAGTACATAAAATAAAATGGCTGCTTCTTTCAAATGTATAGTAAGAAACACAATATGTTTCACTAAAATATATGAACTATATCAAAATTCAAGCACAATAATTGTTTAAACAAAAAAAGGGGGAACATAATTTACCGATATGCTTCTAGTCCTCTATATTCATTATTCATGTCTGGATCAGGATCTCGTATGAAATCATTAAACGAAAGGGACCAGACTTTCTGCACTAGCTTACAGTACGGAGTATGAAACAACATAGCATCTAAGTCTTTCAGGGTAAAGCCCATTTTATCTGAAAAAAAAATTTTAATCTACACAGATATTTTAAACAGAAAATCCAATATCTGAATAGTAAAGACGATGCACATTAAACTTTGCTTTTATTTAACAGAAAATAAGTTACTAATACCACATAAAAATTGAATTTATATCATCAACTATGCCAAAATCACAAATCTAGAAATTTGCCATTTCCAGCAAAAGGCATTTAAATGTTTTGATATGCATTTGATTTTGAGAAATTTCAAGTTACAGACTTATGTTATATTAATTATTTTATGTGTTCTCTTTGTTAAGCCTCATATGTGTCACTGTTAGATAATCTATAAAATCACAACTACTGAAAACCTAAGAAAATAACTGAAATATTTAAGTACTTCATATGTTCTGATTGTATAGACTGACAACTTAGAAAAGAGCTTTGATCTACAAAAACTTCAAAATAAATTTATCTTCATAATTAGTAAGGAGGTTTTTGAATTGTTTCTCAAATTCCTCTTGCTTCAGAGGCATTCAAAAACAGTTTTGTGATATATATATAAGCTACATTATTTTTCAATGGTCATTCCTTTATTCTATTTATCAAAATATAAAGTGCAATGAAAAAATTTCATTTGAGGTGCTGTGGCAATGTGTAATTAAATTATAATGTCCAGATTGAAGATATATAAAGGCGGTGATCTAGAAATGCAAAGGCATGTGATTATCATCTCTCTTCTCTACATATCAAGAAGTTCAAGAGCGAGCTGAAAAGTGTTAATCACTCTGTCCTCTGACAGCTGCAGGTCACTTTTAGAGCTGACACACAGAACTGAGAAACTCCAGAGAGTTTACCATGAGAAATTAAAGTGAAACATCTAGCAAACTTCACAATGGGGTTATCTTATGCCTTTCTTTAATAATGATGATTTCAGTTAGAAAATAATGCAGAGGCGGGCATATCAGCCCTTTTAATGCAGTAGACACAAATATTCTAACTGAGAGGCACACCAAATGACAATGACAATAGGACAATTACATTTAATGCTAGCACCAATTTTAATTAAACTGATGTAATTTATCAAATAGCACAGAACTCTAACAGAGACCTATTTGATTGCCCTTTATGCTTGCCAACTGCCAGTTAATCTGACTGAATTTTTACAAAGTCAGCACAGAATCATAAGTTAGCTAACTTCCCTTACATAACAGCCTCCTCTCAAAATAATGATTTTCTACGCAGATCTTTCTCTAAGTTGTCAGAGTGCAGAACATCATCACAGAAACATGAAACTCCCCCCAAAAAATAAAATTCTTCAGGAAAACTTTGAGGGAATATGAAAGAAGGAAATAGGTTGCCTCAGATAATAATATGCTTACCTTTCTTCCTTCTATCTTGTACATTACAACCTTGGGAGAAAATAAAAGATAATACAAATGAGGATCTCATGTATTAAAATATATATATTACACACACAGGCAAAAATGCTGCCTCTGAAAGCTATATCGTAAGTTATGTGGAAAAAAGTACACACACACACACACATATATATATATAAATATAAACAATATATATATATAAACAATATATATATATAAACAATATATATGTACATAAGCAGTGAAATAAGCACTTGTAATTTCTGAGAAAAGCTAGAAACCCAATATAAAATGTTTTTATCTAGAAAATGAGCAAACAAATATAAAGAAAAGTAACAATGGAGAGAGTGGATCTCCCTCCTGAACTGAAAAGTTAAAAATGAAATTTATGTAAATCTAATACATCTCTTTAAATGAAATTCACATAAAAATCCAAATATGTGAGAATTAGTCCTTGAATGATTACGAAAAATTTAACTCATAATTACTGGCAACAACAAAAAGCTGAAAGCAGTTATACATTAATTACACATAGGAGATAACGCTGGAGTTTTCAAAAACATAGATCATTATAAAACATTTCCCTTTAAATTTTTGCATCAGCAAACAATAAAAAAACAAAAAATTATGTGTAAAATATTAAAAACAATATAAAGAATACTAATATACTACACTTTGATCTTAGCCAAAAGGCCGAGAAGCGATACTAATATACTACTCCTATTTCTCAATTTGCTCTATACCTCAAATATTTACTTACCATCAGCTTTCATTTTATTCCAGTATTGAATTTATATAGTGCCACCTTTTTTTTTTTTTTAACCAATGTTGAATATTTTCAATGCCATTAAAAAACTGGAAGCTTTTTTTACATTATTTAAAATACATATTACGTTTTTGTTTAACTGGATAAAAACATAGCTAAAACTTCCTTACCTTTAGATTTATAAAACTTTTCTGCTTTCCTGCAAAATCCTTCATAGCATTTATCTAGTGCTTTAGCATAGCTTTGGACAGACAGCTTTCCATCAACAGTAGGATATTCGCTCATTAAATTAGGTTTATAAAAATCATATACATGCTCCATATAAGTTGAACGCAAGCCTAAAAAGATTTCTTTATTAAATATAGTAACTCAAAAGCAATCTAAAAACATAACAAAAAACCTTATTTAGCACAATAAAGAAACAAATGCCTGTTGAAAGTCTTGAGAAACTGGCATACAGACAGTATTCAATTAAAAATATTAAAGTTTGAAATATCTCACACTTTTAACTACATATTAAGCAGCGTAAGTTTCCTTTAGATCTTTTATAAACAACAACTAGATAACATTGTCTTTTAAAATTTCAAGTTCTTCACGAAACAACTTCAACTTCACGAAACAACAGAACCCTGCAAAACTCTTTCTGTCATTTATTAAGTTACCAACATTTGGGGAAAAAACTAGAAATAAATAATCATTATTAAATGATTAAATTAGCTTCAACTAGCAGTGAATGATTCAACCTATCTACAAACTATTTATTCCAAAGGGAACAGGAGTTTTTAGTAGAAGAAAATTGTTTTTAATTACTGTTTTAATTATATTCAATAAAATTTTCAGCCAAAAATATTTGTATTCATATTTTATAGAAAATAATACAGTACAAAGTCCGTCGGGACTTCGCCGATTCCAGATTAGGGGTTTTTGCGGATTATAGATCACCAATTTAAATCTTTTAAGATGACATGCATAAATTATACAATTAAAAATATGAAACCGTAATTTATAAAATAAACAGCAATTATGATCTAAAGGGTATCAAAATTTACAATTTCTTTCAATGTAAGTTGTTTAAGTTGCTTCATTTTTTGTGCTAATACTTCCTCTTTAATTCTATAAACACACATAATTTCTTTCTTGTTCAGTTACAAAGCACCACTGTTAAAATCCTGTAATTGCTGTGTCGAGAATACTGACTTGTCAATCGAAAGTTTTCCGTTTTCAATAACAATAACATTCAATAACATTTCGTTTTCGTTCTCTGTCACTTTCTTCACTATCGGAAGTCCGCATGTGTAAACGCTTTACTGGGCTTTACGTACATGCGTAGTGGGCATGTGCATCAAACGCGCATGCATAAGTTCGTGGCTTTGAGGTCCAAATTATAGATCATTCCGGATAATGGACGTCCGGATTACGGACTTTGTACTGCATAACATACAAATATGAGCAAAAAGGCTATCTACTATTCCCATTCTCTTTCTTCCCCTCAACCTCCATAAAAAAAGGGAAAAAAAGGATTAGCTCCATCCAAGCCATTTCAAAATTACTATTCAAGCACTCTTTTCGGGTCAGCCTAACAGATTAGCTCCAAAAAACTCTTTATACTACATATTTCATATCTCTCATTTTAACTTTCGAACTTTTATCCCCCCACTAATCTGAAACTACGATTATTTATTCCAAGACTGTGAAATATAAAAAAGTTTGCTTCGTTTAAATACTTTAAGAAACTTATAACTTTTATAGCTTTCAAAAAATCCTTGCTTGCCCAGATAGAAAGGCTTTTTTTCTATATTTTCTGACACAAGAATCTTTTAGGTTTTATTTAAAAGACTCTCAAATGGACATCATATAAAATGGAAGATAAATTTATAGAAGATAAAAAAAAAAAAAAAATCTCAGCCCTTTACGCAAAATATAAAAGTATCACACAAATCTAGCAATAGCCATATATATATATATTGTTTCAAACAAATGGAATACAAAAAACTAGAAAGCCATGGTCACATTAAATTCAAAGTAACTTCTAGAAAAAAAAAACAATGCCAATTTATGTGACAAAGTAATGTTTTTAAACTTCAATATACACTTTTAGGTTAAAATAACATGCCAGACAATGATTAATTTAGAAGTCAGACAACAAAACATCTGGGTTATATTTGCAAATATTCCTGGAAAATTTCTGGAAAATTTGAAAATATAACACTGATTTCTAAATTAATTCATTTTACATATTACTGAACTTAACGAAAAATGCATCTGTTTCAGTCTTATTTTTTAAATCAACTAATTTGCCTTAAGTTTAAATTAAAAATAAAATGATAAGCATTAAAAAAATCACTTTATGTTAAGGTTTTTAAATATTTTTTAAGTTATTTATTAAAATATTTTTATCTTGTAGAAGGTTCATTCTTTCTTTGTTACGATATTTCAAAGTAATCTTGGCGAACAAAACGCCGATAGTTAGTCTGTCTATTCAATGATTGTTGCTTTAATATTTTAAATATATAAATGAAAAATTGACGTATTTTCTTCTCCACTCTCTTGTACCAACATTTAAAGGCCAGCCACTTTCTAATTGTTTCCCCCGAGTTTAACTATCTGACATTTACCAGTGTCATTTGCAAAGATACTTTAGCACGCTTCCTTTCTTACTCATTCAAATAATTTAATGAACTACAAAAATTTATACTGTGTTAAAAGGGGAGAAAAACAGCACAGCAAATTCCTGCAATAAGGTTTATAATATATTACGAATAATTGAATGGTGAAGCTGGAGAATGAGGGAGCCATGTTCTAAACATTCCTATCAGACAGAACAATACTAAAGGCAGCAAGTAACTTTTCATACAAAGACACTTTCACAAAACTAGTTCGATATAGCAGGTTTCCATATGCAAAATTTACCTACAGTACTGCACTAAAGTCATGTTGCATGTAGTTGAACTAATTTATACTTTAAGAGGGTTCTCATGAAGACCTTCCCCTCTTCAAAGCTGGCAATAAAGGATTTCTACTTGATGTCTGTTTCCCATTACTGACTGATGATGGTAAGCTATGTATGTATGGCAAAGGGGTTGCAGTTCTTCTAATGGCCCTATTTTTATTTAGCAATTAGAAACAACTGTTGTTGGAAAAGCTCTTTAAAGCTGCTCATGGCAAGCTGTTAATGGCTCTTTGAAGTGGTTAGTAATAGCTTTAAAGCTGTTACCACCAAGGTGGCACCAAAGGTCAATGTTTATTGCTACTCAGTTAGTATGGAGTAATGAGAGGATGCCTCAGACAATCAAGTCAAAAGTGCACTTCAAGGTAAAGCAATTAGGCATTAGAAAGTGTCACTGCATATGTAAAACTTCTAGAAATGATGAAGTTGACACAGAGTTGTGCAAAATTATTCAGTCTAATGAGGTTTTTGTCACCAACTGTTGGCCAGAAGTACAGAAGTCACAGAAAAGCACTTCTTGAATTATAAGACTAGTAGTGCATTATCCTCACAAATTACCCTTGGAAATTACACAAAATTTGTTAAACACTGTGATTTTTCCTTTTGATCAGATAATACGGAAATTAATTTAATCAGAGTTCTAAAACTGGTCAATCAAGAATAACATCCAAAACTACTCAACGGGCTTTGATAATGCACATTTAAAAAAAAAAAAAAAAAAAGTTCCTTTAAAAATTGCTTCAATTCTAAATTCTCTAATATATAGTTTTGATTTATCTATCTGCATGTCATTATGCAAATAAATAAAAAGAACAACGCTGCAAACTTAAAACATCACTAGAATGAAACAAAAAAAAAACACATCAATAATTAACTAATTTAAAGTTATGTTACCTCTTTCCAATATAATGGGAGCATTGGGTCCAATCAACATTGCTACTGCTCCAGCCCCACCAGTGGGTCGAGCATTACCTTCAGCATATACTGCTATATCCCCAGCAACAACCAAAGCATAACGACCTATTAAATAAACAATTTTAACGAAAATATTTGTTTCATCTCAGGAACTTATCATTATAATTCTCAACAACTGGAAAAAGAATCTAAAAACAGCATATGAGATTCATTTGGTTATTCAAAAGAAGTTTTTGATAACAAAGCAATTGTACAAAAAAAAAAACTATGTGCAGTGATTGTAGAAATTTAATCATTTATAAAATACTTATCAGGTTTCTATTTTAATTATATTTTTTCTCTCTTTATATTAATATTTCTAAAACCTATTTCTTCCTTAAACAGGATTGCTTTCACACACTACACTTAAACTAAACAATCACATAAAAATACTCTTAAATATTGATTTTTTTGTAAAAGTTGTAAATATTACAACAACAATGAAGATACCCTTTGAAATTTCAAAATTTTTTTCCTGGTTTCATCTTTTTCCTCTTGCAAGGGTGGAATTGCATGTTTGTTGAGTGTTTACGAACTACTAATCATTCAATATTCAGCTGTAATACTGTGTATGTCAACATACTCTAAATTCTCTCCATATATATATATATATACATATGTATGATAATTTAGTTGTGGATGACAGAAGGCACCCATTAACTTTTTAGTTATAGCCGTAATAGTGATAAACATAGCAGACATACAGATTGCGTATTAGATGGCTGGAACGTCAGAAAACGCAACTATCTTGATTGTCAAAACATCACTTTTTTTTCAATAATTTCTCGATCTCTCAATAGTTTCTCAATTAATAACTTAAAACACCTATCTCTGTTAATAACACTATGGGTGTGTATCACATCTTTAAAGTGACATCGTTTCTTAGGGCAAAAAGCAGCTGGGATATTTATAAACTAGTTTCAGTTTTGAATAGTGACTGGACAACAGCTGTACAGTACTGCGGATCATTGCAGATGTAAGTGATGCAATACAGATTCTTTGAAGGGGATATAGCTAAATTAAAGTTAGATGTTAAAAGGCCTATTGCCAAATTATGTTAGCAACTTGTTAGTAACTTTCTGTCATATTTTATACCATATTTGTGTGTAATATATCAAAATATAAAGAAATATTTACCACCAAATAAAACTTAATTGGAATGGTCCTTTAAATTCTTAATTTTAACTGCGCACATACCCTCTTCAAGGCTCTATTGTACCATGTTATATCACACTTCCCTTGCAGTAACTACAATGCAAAATCATTTGCCCGATCAACTTCTCAGGGTTAAAACAAAGATTTTACAAGCTTATAAGTACAACTGCAATAATTACGCATCACTATTTTGATGTTTGCGCTGCCAAGAAAAGTCACATCTCTTCAAGTTCTGTTTTCTATTACCTAAACTGTATACAGAAATAGCATGACCCATTTAGCACCCCTGGTGTTATACAAGTTTAAGCAAAATGTATTTCTGGATAACTATCCTGTTCAAAATAAAATGATGTTTTAGCCATGAAGGCTAGGTGTGGTTTTCGCTCCAGTGACATTTATGGAGCAGTTTCTCTTGGCCATGACTAAAAGATGAATTGGTTTCTTCTGCAAAAACTACAATATTACAGATATATATTACAATGCATATTACAATATATATTACAATGTATATTATATATACATTAATTTTAATTTTATTTCTGGCAACAATTTGCACTTAAATTTGTATTTAAATACTTACTTTTAATTTTTTGTTTAAATCTAAAAGAATACACTAATTTGTATGTGTTTCTATTGTTTTTAAATATCTTTTGTACATATTTCAATTATTTTATATTTGTACAGGTCCCAATAGTGTTTTATTGTTTTCACTATACCATGAGAATGTTGAGAAATGTTTTTCCTAAAGTGAGATCTCGCTTGATTCAGATCTTAACAAGGACCATAATTAAAATGAAAATCTACTAATTTTTTTCAGTTAAGAAGAATAATTACCTTTCTCTTTTTTGAGTTTTGTTTGTAGCTTATGATTTTACTCTAGCAAAATAACTAATTTGATCCTTACTTGGAAAAACATTCTCACTTAATTTGGCTATTGTTATTTGATAGATGATTGGTTTGTTTCCCTTGAAAATTAATCTACGGTCAATAACAATTGCTACCTTGTTAATACTTTGAATTTTATGTTTTAATTTTACATGTTAGAATTTTTCCAGTTTAAAATAATATTTCTATACAGCTTATTTAAATATTTTTACTACAATAGAAATCTAAATTACTTATACTTAAAATACTGACTCAAATTTATTCCAATAATTCATCGCATTAATTGAATTTATGTTCCTTGGAGATGATATATAAAAAAAACTTTTCTACACACCCATGTATAGATAGAGGGTGAGTCAGAATTCATCATCAATATTTGGTGGGGAGGTAGGGAATAGGAAAAGAAGGCGATTTCACATAGCAACATATGGGCGCAGACGAACGCATGTTGGTGTAGAGGACGCTGTGTGTACACAACTTCCATACATAAACAGCTGTTTGACGTGTGCAGCCAGTTGTCATTCGACTAGGTGACTTTGAAGAAGTAACATAAACCGGTATACGTGGAATGAACTTGCAGATATGCATGTAAATGCCAGGCATATTCCAGAAGGTCCAGTTTTCCATGCAACGCCGTTGCGAGTCATGCATTCTAGCACATAGTCAGCAGTTCGAGCACCTCTTGTAAGTCTGTAAAACTGATGCAAAGAAATGCTACATGTAAGATAATAAATCTTTTTTTTTCCTTACTACTTCCTTCTTATATGTTCTTTCCATCATTAAATTGGGGTCATTCTGCCCTACTACATGGCATATGCGCCCATGCATTACTATGTGATATATATATGTGTGTGTGTAATATTTTGGCAATCGTAAAGCTCGGCATCAAAGTTCAGGCATGGCTTTTTGCAGAGTGGTAAGGAGGATATCCAAAGACGACACAAATTGATTTAGCTTTTAATTGCCCCTTTTTATTTACTTCAATTAGCAGATCATTTTCCTTTTATATAGCACTCTTTAAATTACATATCCATAGTGGTTTTAACTAAGTATGATTGAATTTAAACTTCATGTGTCATAACTAATTCTAACAAAGGAAGAAAAGATGGACAGGGCAGCGCAGAGTCTTGTAGCAGCGAGATTAAGAAGCAATCTGACTGAAAAATAGTGCGTACTCAGTATTCATAGTAGCGATTACGTAATAGGCTAGCAAATTCTGGAAGGTATTGGTCTAGAGGGGAAGATCCTGATTTGCAGAAAATTAATTAAAGGGTGCGTGTTCGCGAAGAGCAAAGCCATCGTATTTTTTTATATTTTACATCTACGTAAGAAAAATAAAAAATATGTTAAAGATTAAATTAGCAACATAAATTTCCCTTCGCTATTCTAAAAAATAGTAACCCCTCTCTGCACTGCGTCATTTCGAGAAAAATCCATGTCATATGACTCTTACATAATTCTGGTGATGCAAATTGAACTAAAACTCTTAACAGCCAATAATAATTTTACAGCAATATTAACCATCCAATCAATATGCTTTGAAAACCAAAGCTCAGTCTGACTTAAAATTTCATCCTGAACATTACGCACTTGCTTTCTATGCTTTGACCTGGCCGCACTGCAGTCCGTCTGCTCTTTCTTTCTTCTTGCAAATTTATCTAAAATGTAAACTCTCTTGGAATAGGCACATTTAATGTGCCGACTTGTGTGTAACCACATGTTAGGGCAGCGCAGAATCTTGTAGCAGCGAGATTAGGAAGCAATCTGACTGAAAAATGCCGCATACTCAGTATTTATAGCAGCAGTTACGTAATAGGCTAGCAAATTCTAGAAGGTACTGGTCTAGGGGGAAGATCTTGCAGAAAGTTAATTAAAGGTTGAGTGTTCGCGAAGAGCAAAGCCATCGTATTTTTTTATATTTTACATATATATATTATAAATAGGTAAAATAAAATGTTAACTTTAATTTGCAATAGCCATTTAAAAGTTTTCTTATTTAATGGTTATTTCCCCTTTCTAATGGTTATTTTGCTTTTCCAATGGAAAATGGTTCTCCTTAAAAATAGTAACTTGCTTATCATGAATGTGTCTAAACTGCGCCATTTCAAAATTAATCCTTCTCACAAGATTCTTATATAATTTCATGATGTACATGTTTACATAATTCTTCAGCCAACGAAAAGGCTAAAACCTGTAACCTGAACCATAACAACCAATAAGGATAAACTTACAAAAACTGAATGATTCTAATTCAAGCCTTCATACAAGAAACTAGGCATTCCTGCTCTCACTTCCTCAGCTGGCAACATGTGGCTGCTGACCTCTCTTTTTTCAATTCAACTTGTTTAAATGAATATACTAGCATATAAAGGATATCCACCCGAAAAAGAAAAAAAAAAAAAAAAAAAAAAAGAGGAGCCTTGGCAGAAGGCTTTCTATGGAAAACAATATACTTATGCTACATATAGTAAACACATGGTATACAATCAGCTCTTTCATTGTTCACCCAGACTGCACTTGAAAGCAGCTCTTCCACTGAAACTTCAGTACGAATGAAAGTTTGGCAGCATGGCCATTCATCGATTAAAAAATATCACATATAACCGTATGTTTCTCAATTGCATTTAGAAAGTGCTGAATTATGGAGATTGCAAGACCATAAAGCAATAAATTAAAAGTACAACCTAAATATAACTGTGTCATCCATGAATACTCAAAAATCCTTTTTATTTAAAAAAAAAAAAAAAAAAAAACTTCAACCTGATGTGTAATCAACATCACTTGAATAATTAGTAAAGTTCTCAGTTTTCCAAGATTTCAAACATTCAGCATTGTTTTAAACAGAAATACAGTGTTACAAAGTGAAAGTCAATTGGAAGGTATTACATTTTACATAATGAAAAAAGAAAGATCACAAATACAAAAAATCATATGCAAATTTCACAAGCACAAGTCTCTAATTGTTGTCAAAAAATATACTGCTGCTATATAATAAAATTTTTCAAGAAACTATTACAAAATTTCCAATAAACGGTATTATTTTATAAGCAGAATTTCAACAAACAAATGAAAAGCAATTAAGCTTAAAGCTTTAATTTCTGTTTGTTTAAATTAGGATTTATGGAAATTAACTTAATTATATAATTAAGGAATAAATAAATAAAATTAATCACAACTAGAACAAAATATTATTCAATATAACTTTAACACTCTGTTGGGAACATTTGATCTGCACCTTGAGCAATGTTGTTTACCCTGTCTCCTTCAAACATTGTCACATCTTCTCCATCTAGTTAGCTTCCATTTTCTAAAGCCACTGGCAGTCGTAAGGTCAGTCAGTGAATATATTTCTTCATTTCCAACTGACAGATGAAATGATCTAACAGGCTCAGTGCACCCGAATGTGTTCTGAAACATATTGTTGCGAAATGTACAGGTGCGGTGAGATAGCTTTCCCACAAAGCCGTTTTAGGGTAGTCATAAAATGTCAAAGGAAGGCAGGGTTGCCACATTTGGCGAGATATTGTCCATTTGGCGACGTTTGACAACAAAATTGGTGATATGCCATGGACGGATGGAGAACCTTCTGGAACGAATGCTTACCGGTTTAGCCCAGAATGTTCTCGAACACAAGCCAAAAGCTATATAAACCCTGCTGGTCCACAGTCAGTCAGAGTGCCTCATTGAGAGGGCGAGAGAGCGTGCCTCATCTAGAGTGCCAGATAGTTAGTCAGTCCATGCAGAGTCAATCGAGTTGACAGCTGGCCAGCGAGTGCGGAGTGGGTCGTCGAGAGCATTGAAAGAGTGTCTTCGAATATAGTGATTAGTGCATCATCGAGAGAGCGTGTTGAGCTTCTGGAACGACTGAACCGAAGAGTCGGGAGCTGTGCTCTGTGCGTCGTCGAGTGCATCGCGAGTTCTAGCCAGGAGAATCTCGAGAGTATGTGCAGTTCCAAGAACGATCAAGCAGAGTCGGGAGCTGTACTCTGAAGCTTTGCAGTGAAGCTGTCTCCACCGTTATTGCCTGACAGTGTGAAGGCTGTGTCGCTGATTGTGTCAGCGTGTTTATAGTAGATCTTCGACGACTGTAAAAAAGTGACTTTGGAGCTGTCCTGATTAATATTGGATAAATAAAGTGTGTTTGGATATTTCATCAAGTAGTGCCATTGTTATTCACTCCAAATCCTCATGAACCCCATACGAACATGAAGGAAGAAAGTAACATAACAACTGGGGTCGGAAAAGAAAACCGCAACAATATTGTGCCCGACAGAGTGTTAAGAGTATCTTGGTTAGTTTAAGTACCTTGATTAAGGTTTCTTGAATAATAATGGTATCATATCACATTTAAATCAAAAAAAAAAAAAATACACCAAAAATATAAGAGATAAGCTGAGTCTACATCAATAGCTGAAAATAAATTATTCAGATATTTATCAAGAGGAAAAAAATGTATTTGTGACTGTACATGATTTAACTACAAGAGTTTCAAAAATGAAACACAAGTTTGTTTGTTTTTTCCACATAGGAAAATAATTCTTATACACTTCTTTGAATTCCGATGAATTCAGCTCTCCAAGTATAAAACAAACTCCCCAATCAAAAGCTCAAGAAAATGCATTTGAAAAAGGTGTTTATGATCATGAAAAATTACAGTGATGTATAAACTTCACATATGCATTACAATACACTTGTAAGAGATTTAATACAAATTTGATAAAAAATCAAAAAAACTTCTACAGAATTATTATTATTCTAGATAATAAGCAAGAGGAAGCATGTGTATGACTTTAAATAAATTATAATAAATAAACATTTATAAACTTCAGCCTTAATTCTTTACAATAATGGTGCAAAAATTATTTATTTCTGGCATATAATTTAAATAACATGAAAATGCATATAAAGCACTGAAAAAGAAAATACGGGAAACAAAGTCCACCTTACCATCCCAGGCACTGGATTCAACCCATGCAACAGAATTGAAAAGAGCAGCTGTCCCTCCATAGCAGGCATTAGTGGAATCAACACCTTCTACATCATGGTTGCCACTCTCCTTAAACAGTTCCATAAGCACAGTTTTTACACTTTTTGACTTGTCAATGATAGTTTCAGTTCCAACTTCAAGTCGCCCTATTTGGCTGTAACTTAAACCTCGTTTCTGCATAAGCTGTTCTACAACTGTCAGACACAAGGAATTGATGTCTTCTCGGTCAGAACAAAAACCCATCCTGTTCTGACCCAGGCCAATGGTGTACTTGCCCTTAGAAACATTGTCATAAACTTCAAGCTCCTCTTGGTCTACGTAATATGATGGAAAATATATCTCAATATCGATGATTCCAACATCTTCAGGCCAGCTGGGGTGTCCATTATGGCTGTTCATTGTTAACTAAAATCTAAAAGTAAATGTTAACAGTAATTTTTAAATGTTTTCTTTCATTTAATATGTAATAGAGTAGCAGAATAAAATACAAGCATATGACAAATATTAAAATTATTAAATAGCAAATTCAAAGATGGGAAATATTTTTGGCTGCCTAAGGAACAGCAAAATATAAATAAAATATACAAATTGAAAACAGTGTGTGTGTGTTCTTTATGCATGCAATATACTTAACCAGCTACATGATGAATAGTGAAAATGTTCTGTGGAAGATTATACAATTTAATAATATGTTTAGTAAATACTCAATTGGGATTTACTAACATATGCTGAATTTGACAGAAGCAAAATAAAGAAATGGATGACAAACATGATCATAAAACTATAGTAGGCGCAACTTAAATGCGATATTGTCCACGACCATTTTGATAACATTAAATTATCCTTCAAAACAGCAACAGACTTAACTAATTTAAAATAAAAATATCAGGAAATATATAAATTGGGCATTTTCAGAGTATTTTAAATAAGAAAATGCAAAAGCTTGTTTATGAACTGTTCATAACATTTCTGTAAATTATTGAGTCCATCATTGGAAGAGAACATTCTAATGTAAAATTTTAAATTAAGGGAAAGAAAGCAACCAAGAAAAAGCAGAATTGTTTTTTCTTGGGGGGGGGGGGACTCCTGAAAAAGGACTTTTAACCGATTGCTCTCAAAACCAATAGAGTTATTCAAAATCTACATCAAACTATGGTTGTTTAAAGCATTAAACAACCATAGTTTGATGTAAATTTTGAATAACTCTAATTTTAAATTGTTAACTGAAATCAAAATCAAGCTATTTGATGACTAAACCCCACTTGGTGACATTTCTCTGTCACCACTTAAAACTTTTTATAATCTGTTTTGATCTTATTGTGCAAATTTATCTTTTACTTGGCGACTTTACTTCAACCTAAGAAAAATTATTTTATAATATTTTGTTCACATCAACCAAATTGTTTATCAAATTAAGCGATAATTAAGGATCGTTCCAAGAAAAGTGGCCCTACATTCGGTTTGAGAAATGGTTTAATGATATTAATATAAAATAGTATACAAAGAGAGAAGTAATACAGACGTAATAAATATGCTAGACAACTTGTAGGTTGAAACAAGTGTCCCAGCACTGGGATTGATTGTGGAACCAATTATCAATGGCAGCTTAGACCTCATTATCGTCAGCAAATCAGAGATTTCTTGAGTGGACCAAAGATGTGGCAGTCACATGGCGAGAGGTTAAAGTAAGGGGGATGTTCCAGAACCTCCCAGTGGAATTGCTATAACAATGTTTGGCATGACACAGCCTTATGAGGGCGAGCATTATCATGCAAGAAGATAACCCTATATGACAGTATGACATTTCAGCGGTCCTTGATATTCTGCCTCAGTTTCCGCAATGTGGCACAGTACACAGCAGCAGCGACAGCCAAGTCCATAAGTAGTCATTCCAACAGTAGTGGGCTAGCAACATCAAAGAAGCACTTTAACATAACCTTTACCAGCTCTAGTGGACATGCGAGTCTTCTTCGGGTGTGGGGATGAAGAGTGTCGCTATTCCATGCTCATGCTTTTGGTGGTTGGATGAAAGTGATGGCACCATGTTTCATCAGCAGCAATGATTCTTGAAAGGAATTGGTTCCCCATTTCATGGTACTGCATAAGATATCGCATGGAAATAGACATGCGATGAATCTTCTGTCCTCTGTCAAATGTTTTGGACCCATTGGGCACAAATCTTGCGGTATCGCAACTTTTCACACAGTACTGTGTGCACACTTCCTTTCCTCATAGACATTTCCTTTGTTATTTTTTAAGTGGTGATTCGCAGATTCATTTTCACAAGACAGTCTACATCTGCAACTGCTTCCTGGGTGATCACCACATGCGCTTGACCAGGTCGTGGCCTGTGTTCAGTAATGCTTCTTCCACTATGAAAATCTCTACACCATTGGAATACCGATCTGCATTTGATACACTCCCATTACATACCATAATTTCCGGAAGAAAGCCCGCATCAGCATAAACGCCGCAATAGATTAAATTGCGCGTGACATCGTCGTGGGCCGTATAGATGCAAAAACTCAACCTAAGTCCTGATATATGACATACCAGTTAAGAAAAATGCATGAAATGAAACCATAACTCAAAAATAAATTAAAGGTAAGAAATGTATAGCTTCTGTGCCGTTTAGAGACATTTTCAAAAATTTTCCGCTCCCTAATTAAAAACTATCCAACAAGTACTTGTACTCAAACTGATGGGATCTGTATTTGGCAGAATGCCAAAAAAAATCCATTCATGCTGAAGGGGAAATACGTCAGAGTTCGTTATTTCGAGGCAGGTGGAGTCGTGTCCGCCTTTGAAAAAAAATTGCAGAAAAGGCAGGGGTGGGGAGAGGGTTGGGTCCTGGAAGATTCATCGAATGGCACAGGAGAGAGACTATTCAAACTGATGAGAATGTTGATTTGAAAGGGGGAAGAATGTTATTGTTCTGAGATCTCGTTTAGGGTGAATAAGGCATGTAGGTCCGTTCAAGGGAAAGAATGTAAACAAAATAACGTTTGCAAAAAGCAATTGAGTGGTCTTTTGTGTGGGAACAGCACCAGTCTATGCACAATGACAAGGCCATCCAAACTATGTACAATGACTATGATAGGAAATATTTTATTTTTAGTGCACCTAAACGCCGCACCCGCTGAAAGTTTAAGTTTTAAACACGTAAACGCCGCGGCGTTTCTTCCGGAAATTACGGTACTTATTCATGATTTCAAAAGCACTCATACTTTCTGCTGTTAAAAATTTCACAACCATGCGCTGACATTTTTCGAGACATCCATGTTGCAAGCAATGCCTTTTAACGTACTCTTACGCTATCACATATGCATCTGGCGGGATCTGACAATATCGCATGCACTTAAGCACTCTGTGCCCTCTATAGGGGCATGTGCAGTCATCTTTCTCTTCAGATGGAGAAGTTATTACAGCAATACCGCTCTCACTTGAACGACCCTTCTATTATGTTTTCATGTACATGTTTTCATATAAAAAAGGGCGGCACTTCTTCAAATTGATAGCAATATCTGAATGGTAACAATCACGGCGATCATATTAAATGGCGTCTACTGATGTAAAATTTAATTTATCGCTAAATAAATAATTTCTTGTTAAATTTTTTCCTCGCTCAAGAAAAATTGTGAAATTCAAATTGCACAATATTAGAATGATCTATGGTATAAACATTTGGTAATAAAAATTAACAGAGTGCAAAATAGATAATAAACTAAACTAAACCACCGCACTTTTTAAAATATATAATATAATGACTCATATATCAATAGTTAGGTAAATTAGCAGCTTTAGTGACTATCACTTATTCCTAGCTAACAAAAAGTACTGAATAAATACTTGTTTTGAAATATTCCATATGGAACACGTAACAAAACAAAAATAAATTGTTGTTTTCATATAAAACGTTAAAACAAAAATTCATTACAATCAGAAAAAATATGGTTAGTTAGCACTAGATATTATACTTCCAAAGAACTATGCCAAACATGCAAAATGACCCCTTAGTTTCCACAATCATAAAAGCATATTTTTCCTTTGTCAATTCAGACTCAATAACTGAAACATATACGAAATACGAATCGCTCAGAAGCCAATGGTTAAGTCCCGAAAACAAAAATTGAGAAAATTAATGTTTTTTGATACATTAATTTTTTAAATTCTTGGTTTATTAATTTTATCAGAAAAGTATATAAAGTCTTTTTTCTAAGTGTAAACTATGGAAAAAAAAAAAAAAAAAACAAGATATGTACAGGATGTGTAAATAAAACATAAGTATTTATTGGAACAATGACAACATCTTAAAAATTGTAGGACTTATATTTTTTAGCAACTGAAAAAGATAAGAAATTCTCCTTGACATTTTTTATTTGACATTTCCTATTTCCCTTGACATTTTTATCAGTCACAGTTTTTACAGTTATTAAAGTAAATTTCTTTAATGCTTTTGATAACACAATAATTTTCACGTACACCTCAATGTAATATTTTTATGTTTTAACCAAAGTTTATATATTTCAAATTAAAAGAAAGCATGTACATAAAATTTGAACAAATTCCAAATAGTAGAAGTAACAGTTACAGCTACTATGAATTTGTTATTTTTCAGTGCTGCCAACAAATATCGAAGGAAGAAGAATAATTTTTATTTCAAAGTTTACATAAAAAAAATATGGATAAAAGGTGGACTTATTCACAATGGCTTCTGATATTATTATACAATATATTCAGAAGCTATTAAAAAAGGGCTGTCTGACCTAGAAAAAAAGGAAGCAGCAAGTAAATCCTTTAATAACTAAGAAGAATATTATTTATTTCATCAAAATGTACAAAAATCAGAAAATATCAAAAATTGGACTTAACCGCATTGGCTTCTAAGCAACTCTCTCTCTCTCTCCTCTATATATAGATATATATGTATATATATATAAACATGACTTGGTCTAAATCAAAAACAATTTCAATATTTTATTATATTAAAAGCATCAAAGTTGACTAACAGTCAAATCTTAAAGTTACTATTTATTTTTACATGATAATTACAAACTTGATTTTATCAAGCAATGCAATATTTTTAATTATATGATTATTAAACCATTTGTAAAATAATGTGAATTGATATTACTATCAAAGAAATATGAGAAGAAAACAACCAGCAAATACATCTGACGTGCCAACAGCAAAATTTCTAGTAATTAAGGCTACCTATACGATGGAAATACGTCATTTCAGGAAAATACTGGCAAAAATGTGATCGTGAGTATCAATTATCTTTTTTTAATCGACGAAAGTCTACAGAATCCTTGTGAATTGATCGAGCTTAGTATGCATGTTCCACCTCTGAAGTCTCATCAAGCTTAATAGCATCATGGAATAGCTCATCAAGCATCATGGAAATCATAA